TAATATGGCATACACAGTGAGATGTTTGGCATTTAGTAATACCTAGGTGAGAGCTTTCTAAGCTCTTATGAAGTGTATGATGCATAAGGTCCATTTCTAAATACTAGAAACATCATGCTGTGAAAGCACACATCTACAGTTAAGATGATAATGCCATGCAGAAAAACATGTGGCTATCACCAGTCTTTACTTTTTCAATAGCCTTGCACATGGCTGTTACTGTAGTGCAGAAGTCTTCAGTAGTTTATATTTCCTCATTGTGTCATCAGCCCAATACCAAGTACTGTCAAAATTACACCTGGAGGTGCTAAAAGGAAAATAATCTGATGAAGTGTACATTTTCAGTCTCAAGTTCCAAAGATTGGTCATCAAAAAGTGTGTGTCTATCTTGGCTGTCATCTTTACTACACTGTAGTGGTCTGAGGTGTGAGGAGTGAACACCGCAGAGTTCTGGTTGCCCTTGTGAGGTTTGCTATCATAAACTTTGTCAAAGGAAGCATGCCTGATTACAGAAATGAATATTGTTCCCTGACAATCAATATAGAATCCTGGGTCATACTTCTCTTTACATTTAATAATAGCTTCTGCTAAATCTGTGATGTTCTGTAGGATTGTATCACTTATATCTAACATCTGAAATGTGATGCAAGGCACTTTCATCAAAAAGGCTCTAGTCACACCAGAGACAACAAATCCTGGATAGATGTATTCCACATATCTTATTGTTCTGTAAGTGAGAGCTGTCACAGAATAATCATTTTGGTCTTCAAGGCCAAAAGCAGAAAAATTCCTCATGGCACTTTTTTAGGTCAATGTTTCTGGGATCTCTTCATTTAGTTTTCGAATTCTCTACAAGAAGAAAACATGATAAAAGTACTTGATTTCAATTTTCATTGTATCACCTACTCTCATCTCAGAATGTTGACTTTTCATTTCTGAAATCCAATATACTTAGAGTCATAAGGCAAATATTTAGCTATTTCAAATATGTTGCCTAGAACTATTTGTGGAGGCAATTTACCAGGTTTTAAGGCACCTGAATTGGGACATTTGTTTCCATGTTTTTTAGAAGCAAGTTATCATTATGTTTATTATACATGAACACAATCTGTTCTAGTCTTCATAGTGTGGAACCATATTTGTCTGTAAAGAACCTGCACAATTTACACTCCACTGCACTTTTCTGTAGATGACCTTTACATATATATCCACTCCCCTCTCCAGATTTTTGTCAATATTTGGTGGAAAACGGCTTTTTCTTCTATCTTTCTGGCTCTTGTGTCCATGACAAATGCAATTTGCAAGAAGCAGTCTAAATGCACTGGACAGATATAAAATCCATGCACTACTCTCTAGATATCTTCATTGAGTTCTTGTTGTTATGCCATTCTTTGGCTCATCACAGAATGAAAAAAAAATGGCTTCTGCTTGAAAATAATATCAAAATCCAACATGAAAGAAGCATCCAGAAAGTTCATCACTGTTTAAAATCAATTTACACTTACCAACAACTCCAGAACGCATCCTCTTTCTGTAACTTAAGAATGTAGTAGACAGCAACCATATTAAAATTCTTTCAAGGCATCCTACAGTGATTATGGAATCACACCTTTCTATCTTGACAGAATAATTCTGAATCATGTATTAAGCCTAACATGACTTAGCAAACTATAAATCTTCATTTGTATACTATTCATTGTCATCTTGTAAAATGACATACTAATTGATTTTGCTGGCAAAAACTGAGAACAGTTACATTTTCATCATGCTTAATTTACAGAAGTTTTCATTTTCTTTTCCTACCCAGTGGCAAAATTTCATGACTCTAAAGCACTTAAACTCTTATCATATCATTTTTGTAAAGAAATAACACAAAGCAATAAGATTTTTTAAATCAACTAGCAGGGAGTTTGTAATTTATGTATTAGAACAACCATTTAACTTGTTCTCTTTTATCTGCTGCAATGCTTTCCCAAAAACATTAGATTTGTTTTTTTATGATGTGTTAGTACATGAACCCAGGTAAAGAAAGAAGTCTGTGGCCTCATTTAACATGGGCTTATATTACTTTTCTGGGCATTGAGATCATAAAAACACCATCAAAACTGTAAGTTAAAGTGAATTGACTGAATTTTTAAAATAACAATGAGACAAAAAAGCTACAATTTATGTTTGTTAAAATAAATGTTTTATAATTGTAGTATTTTCAAAAGACAGGGTCATGCTGTTGCCCAGGCTGCAGTGATAGGGTGCAGTGGCTGTTCACTGGCACCATCATTTCACAGTACATCCTTGAACTCCTGGGCTTAGCACCTGGCTTTTGTGATTTTCACCCAGTTGTCAACAGTCAAACTCTGGATAAGTTTCTTAATAAGTCAACCATAGTTGAACTATTTTTTTCCTTACCAACTCTGTTAATTGATACTCCTTGTCATTATTGTATTGACTTTGAGATCCCCAGAAATAGACTCTTATTATGAGTGAAATCACATGAAGATGTTGCCTGGGCGATGCTTGGTTGTCTTCATGGAAGAAAGAATTTACACAAAAGACCAATTTGTAAATAAAGAAAAGTTTTATTGGGAAAGTACAAACACACTCTAAGAGAGGAGGGGGCTGACCCTGCGGGAAACATCCCCATGACATTCTACATTGTGATCTTCTATTGCCTCGGTTCTTTCTTTGTCCAGTTCTCACCAAAGTTCAGGGGATCCACCCTTACCGTGCTTAATGCACATGCATGGGAAACATCAATACAAATCGTACCTAATGGTGGCACTGCATATTACCACCACCCAGGAAAGGCATAGCAGTCAATTTTGTACTCATTGTGCCTGCTCAGCTCTCAGGAATTCTCCTTTGCCATATTTCCTTATCATGATCTAGTTAACAACATTGTGACAGTTTGAAGATGGAGTGAGTACTGAGCATCCAAAGAGGTGTTCCGGAGGGTTCTTTCCAACATGGATACCTCCTCATTGTGCCTGCTCATATGTGACTGTCTATGCTTACATTTCTCCTTCAAGTGGTTGGGACCCAGGAATCTTTTGGGAGATGGGGCAGAGGTCACTCTCTGTAGATACTTCCTGCTGAAAAGGGGGATCGAGGGTCTTCAGGCCTTCCTCCTTGCTTGCTGTCATGGTGAGGTGATTTTGATGACTGTTGTCTCTTAGAAGATTTCACCTGTGCTGTCCAGAGGCGACATATAGGGACTTGGTTGTCCTGGAGGGAAAGAAAGAGGTTGATATCCCCATCACAAGACCATTTGAAGTCTGATGATTTCTAGGTGGGAGGAAATAAACTGAGAAGATTCAGAGAGCAAGGCTCAAAAAGGAGAAGGAAGATAGAGGCCAGGGGTCCCAGGAAAGGGAAGAGCTATGAGACTGAAGATCAGGTGACACCCCAGCTGAGCCAACTCTTAATACCTCTTTACCAAAGGTGAGAGGCCTGGTCTATAAGATCTCTAATGTGTTCTTGGACCTACTCTGATCTGTTAACCGAAAAATACAAGAATTATGTTAGAAATCTAAAAACTAAAGAGATACTGTAACTAACCTTTGACAAGCAGTTCTCCATTCTGATATTTGAAGACAATGAGCTTGACATAGAAATCCTTAAGTCTTCTCTTGGATTATGTATTCTGGTGAGACCTAAACTGTCATTAAACTTTCCATTGCAAGGTGATTCTAGGACTGGCATCATAGTCTATGTGGCCAATAAACATCTGATCTGTTCCTTCACTAGGAGTTTGGTACTAAAATCTGCTAGAAATTCCTTCTGTAAGATTGCAAAACATAAATGCTGAGTGTTCATTTTTTCCCCAAATGATGTCTAAATAATGTGTTGTTTAAAAAGTCACCATGAGTGAATGAAATATACCACAAATTATGTGCCTCTTTTCCAAGTCCATCTGCCCTCAGCTCCAGCTTGCTTGGAGCTCCAATCACTCTGAGCTCCATTTTGCTCTGAGCATCATCTGCTCAGAGCTCCATCTTACTCTAAGCATCATCTTTTCTGAGCTCCATCTTCTCCAAGCTCCAATCACTCTGAACGCCATCTTGCTCTGAGCACTCTCTACTCCAAACTCCAATGGCTCAGAGCAATGTTTGGAATGCCAATCATTCCGAGCTCAATTTTGCTGTAAGCATCTTTTCTGAGCTCCATCTTACAACAAGCAACATGTGCTGCAAGCTCCATCTCGCTTGGAGATCCTTCTTGCTTCAAGCTCTATTTATTCCAAGCTCCATCTTGCTCAGAGCTCCAATCACTGCAGGCACTATCTTTCTCTGAACACCATCTGCATAGACATCTATCTTACTCGGAGCTTCATCTAGTCAGATCCATTTACTCTGAGCTTCTGGAAGTTCTAATCACTCTGCGTTCCATCTTGCTGGGAGTTCCAATCACTTCCAGCTCCATTTTGCTCTGAGCACCATCTGGTTGGAGCTCATCTTACTCTGAGCAACATGTGCGCTGAGCTCCACCTTGCTTGGAGCTGTAATCATTGTGGGCTCCATTTGCTCTGAACTCCAAAACCTGGCAACATCTCCAAACTCCATCTTACTTAGAGCTCATTTTTGCTCAGAGCTCTATCTACTCCAAGCTGCATTTTACTCAGAGCTCCAACTGTACAGATCAATGTTCAGGAATGCCAATCACTCTGAGCTGCCTCTTGCTCTAAGCACTATCTGCACTAAGGTCCATCTTACACCAGCAACATCTGCTCCAAGCTCCATCTTGCTTGGAGCTCCTTGCTGCTCAGAGGTCTATCTGATCCCAGCTCCATCTGGTTCGAAGGTCCAATCACTCCAAGCTCAATCTTGCTCTGAGCACCATCTACTTGAAGCGCCATCTGCTCTGAGCTCATCTTGCTTAGAGCTCCCACCACTCTGAGCTCCATTTTGCACTCAGCACCATCTGCTCAGACTTTCATCTCCTTGGAGTTCCACTTGCTTCAAGCTCCATCTTTCTCAGAGCTCCAAGCACTCCAAACTCCATGTTGCTCTGAGCTCCATCTGCTCAGAGCTGTCTTCTCCTAGGTCCATCTTGCTGAGACTTCTAGTCATTTCCAGCTCCATTTTCCTCTGAGTACCATCTGCTCAAAGCTCAACCTTCCTGTAAGCAACATGTTCTCTGAGCTCCATCTTGCTTGGAGCTCTCATCACTCTGAGCTGCATCTAAAACTGAGCAATGTCTGTCCCAAGCTCCATCTTGCTTAGCGTTCCTTCTTGCTCAGAGATCCATCTTCCTCAGAGAAATGTTCACAGTTCCAATCACTCCAAGCTCCATCTTGCTCTGAGCTCCATCCTACACCAGGCAACAACTTCTGCAAACTCCAGCTCACTTGGAGGTACTTCTTGCTCAAAGCTCTACCTCCTCCTAGCTCCATCTTGCTCAGAGGCCCAATCACTCTGAGCTCTATCTTGCTTTAAGCACCATCTGCACAGAGTTTTATTTTTCTGAGTTTCTAATCATTCTGAGGTTCATCTTGCTCTGAGCAAAATCTGCTTGGAGCTCCAGATTGCTCTGATTACCATCTGCCTGGAGTTCCATCTTGTTGGGGGCAATTTCTGTGAGCTCCATCTGTTCTGAGCTCCAATCTCTCCAAGCTCCATCTTGCTGTGAGTACTATATCCTCAGAGCTCCATCTACTCTGAGCTCCATCTTGTTCTGGGCACAATTTGCTTGGAGCTCCATCTTGCTCTGAGCACCATCTGCTCTAAACCCCATCTGCTCAGAGTTCCTTTGCTCTATGCTCCATCTTGCTCAGAGCTCCAATTACTCTGGAGTTCCATCTTGCACTGAACATCATCTGCTTGGAGCTCCATCTCACTGTGAACAACATCTTCTTTGAGCTCCATCTTGCTCTGAGCACCATCTGCTCAGAGCTCCATTTTCTCTGAGCTCCATCTTCCTAAGAGCTCCAACCACTTCAAGCTCCATTTTGTTCTGAGTACCATCTACTTGGAGTTCCATCTTGCTCTAAGCACTATCTGCTCGGAGCTCCATCTCACTGTGAACAACATCTTATCCAAGCTCCATCTTGCTCTGAGTACCATTTGCTTGGAACTCCTTCTTACTCTGAATAACATTTCCTCCGAGTTCCACGTTGCGCAAAGCTCCATTAGCTCCAAGGTCTACCTTGTTTGGAGCTCTAATCACTCTGAGCTCCATCCTGCTGTTAGCACCATCTGCTCTGAGCTCCACCTAAAACCAAGCAACATCTGCACCAAGCTCCATCTTGCTTACAGCTCCTTACTGCTCAGAGGTCTGTCTGCTCTGAGCACCATCTTGTTCAGAGCTCTATCTTGCTCTGCACTCCATCTTACGCAAAGGAACATCAGCTCCAAGTTCCATCTTGGTTGGAGCTCCTTCTTTTCTGAGCTTAATCTGCTCAGAGCTCCATCTTGCTCAGTGCTCCAATCACTCCAAGCTCCATCTTGCTCCGTGCTCCAGTCACTCCGAGCTCCATCTTGCTCAGAGCTCCATCTGCTCTGAGCTCCATCTTGCTCAGAGCTCCAATCACTCTGAGCTACATCTTGCTCTGAGCACCGTCTGCTCTAAATTCCTATCACTCCGAGCTCCATCTAGCTCTGAGCTCCATCTTACCAAAGGAACATCAGCTCAAAGCTCCATCTTGTTTAGAGCTCCTTCTTGTCTGAGATTAATCTGCTCAGAGCTTCATCTGCTCCGAGTTCCATCTTTCTCAGAGCTCCAATCACTCCAAGCTCCATCTTGCTCTGAGCTCCATCTGCTCCAAGCTCCATCTTGCTCAGAGCTCCAGTCACTCCAAGCTCCATCTTGCTCTGAGCTCCATCTGCTCTGAGCTCCATCTTGCTCAGAGGTCCAATCACTCTGAGCTCCATCTTTCTCTGAGCACCATCTGCTCTGAGCTCCTTTCACGCCAAGCTCCATCTAGCTCTGAGCTCCCTCTTACACAGAGCAACATCAGCTTAAATCTCCATCTTGCTTTGAGCTCCTTCTTTTCTGAGATTAATCTGCTCAGCGCTTCATCTGCTTAGAGCTCCATCTGCTCTGAGCTCCATCTTGCTCAGATCTCCATCTGCTCCAAGCTCCATCTTGCTCTGAGCTCGATCTTGCTCAGAGCTCCATCTGCTCCAAGCTCCATCTTGCTCTGAGCTCGATCTTGCTCAGAGCTCCATCTGCTCCAAGCTCCATCTTGCTCCGAGCACCATCTGCTCTGAGCTCCATCTTGCTCAGAGCTCCATCTGCTCTGAGCTCCATCTTGCTCAGAGCTCCATCTTGCTCAGAGCTCCATCTTGCTCAGAGCTCCATCTGCTCCAATCTCCATCTTGCTCTGAGGACCATCTGCTCTGAGCTCCATGTGCTCCGAGCTCCATCTTGCTCTGAGCACCATCTGCTCTGAGCTCCATATTGCTCAGAGCTCCAGCTGCTCCGAGCTCCTATCACTCCAAGCTCCATCTAGCTCTGATCTTCATCTTACACAGAGGAACATCAGCTCCAAGCTCCATCTTGCTTGGAGCTCCTTCTTGTCTGAGCTTAATCTGCTCAGAGCTTCATCTGCTTGGAGCTCTGTCTGTTCTGAGGTCTATCTTGCTGAGAGCTCCATTTGCTCCAAGCTCCATCTTGCTCGGTGCTCCAATCACTCTGAGCTCCATCTTACACAGTGGAACATCAGCTCCAAGCTCCATCTAGCTCTGACATCCATCTTACACAGAGGAACATCAGCTCCAAGCTCCATCTTGCTTGGAGCTCCTTCTTGTCTAAGCTTAATCTGCTCAGAGCGTCATCTGCTCTAAGCTCCAGCTTGCTCGGAGCTTCAATCACTCCAAGCTCCATCTGGCTCTGAGCACCAACTGCTCAGAGCTCCAACCACTCTAAACTCTATCTTGCTCTGAACACCATCTGCCCTGAGCTCCATCTGCTTAGAGCTCCAATCACACCAAGCTCCATCTTGCTCTGAGCACTGTCTGCTCTGAGCTCCATGTTGCGCTGAGACCATATGCTTGGAGCTCCCTCTTATACTCTGTGCAACATGTGCTCTGAGATTCATAATGCTTGGAGCTCCATCTCACCTGGAGCTCCATCTGCCCTGAGCTCCATCTGCCCCAAGCTCCATCTTGCTCAGAAGTCCATCTTGCTCTGAGCACAATCTGCTCCATGTATGTTTTTTGCAGCACAATTCCCAATAGGAAAGACATGGAACCAACTCATATGCTCATCAGTCGTAGACTGGATAAAGAAAATGTGCTACATATACACCATGGAATACTATGCAGCCATAAAAGGGTATGAGATCACATTCTCTGCAGGGACATGGATGAAGCTTAAAGTCATCATCCTCAGTAAACTAACACAGAAATAGATAACCAGACATGATATGTTCTCACTCATAAGTGGGAGCTGAACAGTGAGACCACATTTTAATACTATTATGTCCTCTGTAGATGGTCTCTGTTTCTCTTAACAAAAGATATTTATACTTTTTCTCTCTAAAGGATTTAAGTAATTTTATCTCTAAAGGATAAGTAATTTTTTTCTCTCTAAAGGTTTGTTGCTTCTGTCTGTGCCAGCTTAGGGTTCAGGTTAGCTACCCCGTCTTGTAATGACTCACTCCATGTCTACATGGAGTCTCTTCTGTGATAATGTTTGTTCACAGACTCTTACCACCTGTGGGTCATTTGAGGGACGGTGACCTCACATAGTACTAAACCAGGTAAATCACCAAATGAAAGAATTACTGAAACAACGTGTGTGTCTGGTTATTTCAAAGAATAATTAGGAGTCAGTTGAAGGTAATAAAGTTTTAGTAATGTTAGTAACACCTTAGATGACCAAGAATAATCCTGTGGGCCCCAAGAACATATAACAATATGGATTATGCCAGCAAAACTCTCACCCATCAGGCAACAGCAAACGATGATCTAGCTCAAATGTTAATTGTCCTCTCTTGATGTGTGAAAGCACACAACCAGCAGGAGGCACAAACATCAGGGAGACAAAGGCTTTGCTGCATTACCTGTGGGCTTCAGTCACCAGTGAGACCCTCAGAGCCTACATCTCCTCTGTTACCACTGCAGTTTTTATTGTACAGCAAATATCCATGTATGTTTCATTTTAGTTTTTGAATTCTGTACTTCATTTTTCTCTCAATCTAGTTATGAATCAACATCACACTTTCCATTTCGAAGAATTTACAATACATGAAATAATTTTTTATACTCAGACTTTTATAGACATTTTTACTTATTGTTCTTTGCAACACATTTTCTTACCTCAAGAGCACAATCAGATAGTAGACACATTGGAGTCAAGCTCAATTTATCAACTGATTAAAGAATCACTGACCTCTTCATACTGTTAAATATACTTTTCTAAAACTGTGGTTTCATTATTTTTTATTTGTACAAATCCATTTCATAATTTAAACATTTTTACAGCAATTCTGACTTGGTTAAATTCTTAAAATATACTATGCTGTGGAATCTTGACAGTGTCTTTTTACATCTATGCACACGAATACAAGGCAGTCTCATTAACTCTCTGAATGTGGTTAATCGCATTAGTGGATTTCCAAATGCTGAGTCTCACTTGCACTCCTACCATAAAGGATGTCTGCTCATGCTACAGTATCCTCATATGTTGATACAATGCCTTCTAATACTTGTAACTTTTACTTTTATATCCATATGTCCTATTTGTCTGTAGTATTCAGTGTGTCTCAATCTAGTTAATGTTCTTATAGCAATCTTATATATCCTTCCAAAACTTTTGGGAAATGTTTAACTGCTTTATAACTCTGACACAGTATAAGTGACATTTGTTTACTAAACTCTTTTTTTTTGAGATGGAGTCTCGCTCTGTCCCCCAGGCTGGAGTGCAATGGCACAATCTCACCTCATTGCAACCTCCACCTCCCAGTTGAAGCTATTCTCCTGCCTCACCTCCCAATTAGCTGGGATTACAGGTGTCTGCCAGCACAGCTAGCTAATTTTTCTATTTTTAGTAGAGATGGGGTTTCACCATGTTGACCAGGCTGATCTTGAACTCCTGACCTCAGGCGATTTTCCCACCTTGACCTCTCAAAGTGCTGGGATTATAGGCATGAGCCGCTGTGCCTGGCCTACTGAACTTTTTTATACTGGAACTTATGTGTGGATGAAAGCCCTCTGTTGATAAATGTCTTTGTTATTTCTATTATTTAATTAACATTTACCCCTATTGAGTTAGAGATTCTACACTGATGAACCACCCAACTGGCAGTGTGTTCATAACATTGTTAATAGCAGTAAAAGTAGATATTCTTTTAGAAAATCAAGACTGAAAACTAAACACACACACACACACACACACACACACACACACACGAAAACAAAACAAAACTTACACCAACCCTCTCCATCCATTAGTGGCATAAACATAGAAAGATAACCAAATGGACCAAATGATGGAGCCAAATAATCAGACCAAAATTATACAGTATAAACACATGTTTCAGAAACACACCAAAGGACTCCAAGTTCAGAAACCTGGGTATTCATGTGCAGAGAACTGAAGTAAGATCCCTATGTTGCATAAGACACAAACATCAACAGAAAATGAACACCTAAGTCTAATCCTGAAACCAAAAAAGCTCCCAAGAAAAAACATAGGGTGACTATTTTGGAGAAACTTGAATCTTTGCACACCAGTTGCCAAAAGAAAAACATAGGGAGATTATACCCAGAAATAATACAATGCCTTCACCATCTCTCTGTTTCCCAATGGGACACAGAAATTACTATTAACAAAAGCAAATATAAACGTTAGACAAAGGACAACTTTAAAACTTCTCAAGGAGAAAACAATGAACCCAAAGAAAAGGTATTCTACAGATTGCGATAAAATTATGGAAAATCATGTGTCTGAAAGGAACTGTTATCTAACATATACAAGAAACTAAAGGTACTAAGTGGTCAAAAAGATAAAACAACTAAAACCTGTATGTATCCAAACAGGCTACCCAAATACCCATTCAAAGACAGACTTGATAAAGAAAATATGACACATATACACCACGGGATACTCTGCAGCCATAAAAAAGGATGAGTTCATTTTCTTTGCAGGGACATGGATGAAGCTGGAAACCATCATTCTCAACAAACTGACACAAGAACAGAAAATATTGCATGTTCTCACTCATAAGTAGGGGTTGAACAATGAGAACACATGGACAAGAGGGAGTGGGGAACATCACACACCAGGGCTTGTCGGTGATTGGGGGCATTAGGGGAGGGATAGCAGGGGGTGGGGGGATTGGGGAGGGCTAACAGGAGAAATACCTAATGTAGACGACAGGGATGGATGGATGCAGCAATCCACCAAGGCACATTTATACCTATATAACAAACCTGCACGTTTGGCACATGTACCCCAGAACTTAAAAGTATAATTTTAAAAAACGCTATCCAATGGATAGATTGAGGGAGTCCCATGTCACCCAAACGTATATACAGTGAACACATTTTTCAAAAGAACACAAAGACAGAATGGGAAAAGTCTATTCAATAAATGATGTTGAGCAAGCTAGGTAACTAACAAGATGCAAAGTGTAAAATATAACAATAAGAAAATAAATATTTGAGAAAAAGAACCATAGACAATACCATGGGTTGGCAATCGTTTTCACTATTTTTAACTGCACACAAAAGTCACCACTAATATATAAACATGTGGGACTATGGAAAACACTGGATCTTATGCAGGGAAATGAAAACAATGGACCAGAAGAGAAGGCATCTGACAGACTGAAATAAAACTATGGAAAATTCTGTTTTTGAAAGGAGTAATTATAAAATATGTGCAAGAAACTAATACTACCATGTGGGGAAAAAACAAAAACAGCAACAAAAACAAATACGTAAGCTAAGACTGGGAAGAGGACCTGAATAGACATGTCTGAAAAATAGATGTGAAATTAACACATAGGTAAAAGAAAAGTTTCTTAAAAGCTCTAATCCTCATGAGAATGTCAAGAAAAACCACACTGAGATACCACTTCCAACCACACAGAATGAATGTTACTTAAAACAAAAATAAGAGTTTGAAAAGGAAACGACTGGTATAGACTTGCAGAAGGGGAAAATCTTCTCATACCCTATAGGTGGGAATGTCAATTTGTACAGATACTAGGAAAAACAACTGGAAGTTCCTCAAACAAAAAATGCCATTTCATCTAGCCATCCCACCACTGGCTGTTTTGCAACCAATGAAATTCCTATGTGGAAGAGATATCTGCCTTGCCCTGTGTACTGCAGTACTCACAATAGCCAAGATAGGAAATACACCTACTTGTTCATCTGTTGATTAAGGAAAGAGGAAACTGCAATATACATCCAGAATGGAATAGTCTTCAACCACAGAAATGGGTGAAATCTAGTCATTTGCAGCCACATGGAAAAACCTGAGGGATATTATGTTAAATAAAATGAGTCAAGCAGAGAAGGGCATATACAGCATGAACTTACAAATATGGAATCTAAAACACTTGACCTCATAGCAGTAGAAAGTTCAACAGTGCTTACCAGAGGCTGTGAGGAAGGGGGAGCCTGAGCAGGGATTCGTAATGGGTACAAAGCTACACTTAGAAAACTGAGATCGATCCTGCCCTTCTCTTCTATAGCATGGTGACTAGGGTTAATATTGTAGTGTATTTTTCAAATAGCTGGTAAGGATTCTGAATATCCTCTCCACAGACAAATAATACCCAGAGGACATCACAGGTGGTAAATATTGTGATTTGAACAATATACTAGGTGTACCTATATCAAAATGGCCCCTGGATTCCCTAGTTACATACATATTCTCTAGGGTAATCTCTTTAAAAACAAAACAAGGCTGGGCACGGTGGCTCAAGCCTGTAATCCCAGCACTTTGGGAGGCTGAGGTGGGTGGATCACAAGGTCAAGAGATCGAGACCATCCTGGCCAACATGGTGTACCCCGTCTCTACTAAAAATACAAAAATTAGCTGGGTGTTGTGGTCGCATGCCTGTAGTCCCAGCTACTCGGGAGGCTGATGCAGGAGAATTACTTGAACCCGGGAGGCGGCGGTTGCAGTGAGCCGAGATTGCGCCACTGCATTCCAGCCTGGAGCCTGGCGACAGAGTGAGACTCTGTCTCAATAAAAACAAAAAAAATACCAAAAAACAAAACAAAACAAAACAACAAAAAA